AAGGGCTCCACATGAAAGAAGGAAAAATGCCACTCACAAGGAGGAGAGTCACCTACCCTACAGCATATATCTCTTTTGCACTTCTGCCTCCTCAGATTTTCTATTAAACTATCCCTAGGCACTTATTTGACTTAAAACAAATGCATGTGGAAATCTTTGCAGGTAGTGTTTCTACCCTGTCTGGCTTACAGAGTTGACAACTCAGTCATTCGCAGTGATAATAATGGCCTGAATATTTTGTGACAGGTAGTACTTCTGCCTAACTGACTATACCATGCCACAGGGTCTCTGTGTCTTTCACCAGCCAAACCTAGAACCACGACACTGGACACTTCCAGTCAAAAAACAAAAATAAAGAGATACTAACTTCATATAGTCAATTAAGGTTTTTGTTTGAAAAATCAAGTACAACTGAACTCTATTTTAAAATAAAGCAAACTATTTTTGTGTTTAACAATCATATTTACTCAGTTTATAAGACTGGTACCACCCCATTCACTGCCCTTGTAGTCTGCAGTGCAGAAGAATCTTAGGCATTTATCAGAAAGGATTCGGAGAATTTGCCTGTAAAGTTCCTGCACATGTTATCCACTTAAAATAATTTCTAAGACGTTGATTTCATGATATCTCAACAATTGTTCCTAAGTGAGTGAAAATTATACCTTATGTTTACTCTTCCAATCATGTGCAATAAACTGAAGAGAATCTTTTTATTATAGATGTTGAGGAATTTTGTGTTCAATCTGAAGAGAAAGTTTAGTAGTTTGCATTTTCTGAATTTTCATAAAATATACATTTGCCATTCAGCAGAATACTTTGTATAAATTATATTTTATGAACATCGCACTAAAAATTTTTTACTAAAGAAATATTTCAACATGTAATATTTTAAAATATCACGTATCTATCAAGTTTGCATTTCTATTAAATGATCTGTATAGATTGTAAAATCGTCTGTCTTTCTTCTTCAGGATTATTTGTAAGAAGTGGCAGAGCATTTTATTAATTATTTCAGGTACGTAGAAGTCATTGTTCTGCCTGGCATTCGAAGTGAGATCGAATGAGGAGAGAATGAAGCATTTTCCCTGCAGCATTTCAATCCGTGTTGATTGTTTTTATTGTGTTTGTTCCTAAACCAATAACACTTGTCTTTTCTTTCTTTTTGTATCACATATTTGCGTAATGCCTTATGTGTTTCCTAACCCTCTTTTGTAGACTTATTTGTATCATCTGGAGCAGATTGTGAAGCTCTTAAAGGAAATTGGCATATTTGGTATAATTGGTATACATCCTAAAATATCTACAAAAACTGGGCCAGAAAACAAAAAGTTGGGAAATACATATTTGTAAAATGTAACAAAGGGTTAAGTTTTTTTATGATGTACATCAATTTGAAATTGTTCTTAGGCTTGAAAAATGCAAATGGAAGTGGTCTGTGTTCTTCCAGGCAGAAAAGTCAAGAGACAGGGCACAATTCTCCATATTTCAATTTTCCTTCTTCAACAATTACCCATTCACAGAGAGACAGCTTCCTTTCAAGTGGGACCAGAGTAACCATAGAGTAGAATAAAACTTTGAAGCCACCTAGGATTAACAGGAAATACATACACATACATATATATACACACATATATACACACACACACACATACACATACATATATATACATATATACACACACATACATATACACACACATACATATATACACATACATATATATACACACATACATATACTTTCAGAGACTTGGGGTTGTTTTATCTACACTACAACTTAGCTATGTTATGTGTGGTTATGGTGTCTATTATACTAAGTCTTAACTTTGATCTTGACATTTAAAGTTATCTGTCCACTTTCTTTGCCATATCCAAAATTATCTTCCAGTCTTTCCAAAACTTGATAGTCCAATCTGACCAGTAATCTCACTAGTTATTGCACAGGAAACCGTAACTCTGGATAGTCACAATCTCCATGCTTTTTTCACATCTTTCTATCTTCATAAAATAGCCTCCTTAATCCTTCCATAATCTAAACTATAATGCTTTCTTCAAGACCTATGTAAGCCTTACTTCTTTGACAAATTCAGCTTACAATGATCTCCACATTCTGTCCATTTCCACATGCTTAGGCATCTGTACCTAATATTTGCATGTTCTGCTGAATCTTTCTTTGGTTTGCTCTAATATGTATACCTTATCTCTTCAGTGATTTTGTTGTTGCTGTTTGTTTTGTTTTTGTTTTTGAAATGGAGTCTCGCTCTGTCACCCAGGCTGGAGTGCAGTGGCGAAATCTCAGCTCACTGCAACCTCTGCCTCTCAGGTTCCAGCAATCCTCCCATCTCAGCCTCCCAAGTAGCTGGGATTACAGGCACATGTCACCACGCCCAGTTAACTTTTTTGTATTTTTAGTAGCGACGGGGTTTCACCATGTTGGTAATCAGGCTGGTCTCAAACTCCTGGCCTCAAGTGATCCACCCACCTCGGCCTCTCAAAGTGCTGGGATTACAGGTGTGAGCCACAATGCCCAGTCTTCTTCAGTGAGTTAATGAACTTTTGATACCTTCCAGAAATTTGGACAAAGATAGGCACAGATTAGCAGACTGACATATTCAAATCCATTCATTTATTGGTTCTTTCACCTATTTACTCAACAAAAGTCATGTGCCACACTGGATGTTGGATGCCAGAAATGCTAAGATTAGAAAAAGAAAATCTGGCTCATAAAAAAGCTCAAAATTTATAGGGAAAAGAAAAATGTGCCATTCTAACTGGTATATGAAATTAGTACAGCATAATGTACTAAAAAGAAGAGGTGATGCGGGCAAGAGAGAGTCACTTTTAGAGTGATCAGAGGAGTATTCTACAAGAAAGTGCGTTTTATTCACTCATTCCTTCAATAAACATTTAATATTTGACTGTGAGTTGCCAGGTGCTGTTACACTTTGGGGATGCTGAGATGAAAGGTCACAAGGTACAGTATTTACACAGCTCACACTCAAGAGGGGAAGACACTGAGTAAATCCACAAATTACAGCAGAGTCTAGAAAGCAATGTTACCTTAACAGGATTATGATAGATGCCATGTTTTTACTTCTATTGGTTTGGATTAGTAAGGATAGCATTCATGTCACCATTTCACCATGAGTGCCTCAAGTTTAATAAGAGTGAGCAAGTAACGTAAATGGCAGTGCCTGGATTTGGCTTTCTCCAAGCTTGCTTAACAGAAGTACAACAATTTTCCTGATTCATTGATCACCTTTTTAAAAAAATACACTTTAATTAACATACCTAAATATTAGCATGCGTTAGCCACTACTTATCTAGCTTAAATTCCAATGCTTAATTCAAAAAAGAGTAGAAGATAATCCAAATATCTAGTTAAATAAATACCTCATTACGTTTTTATTGTTATTGGCTCATAATTACTGTTTATTTTATCCCTCGTTTGAATGGCTTTCATGGAATTAGTTGAACTGTAATACCCAGTGTTTGGAGTTTTGGGGGGTGTGTGTTGTTTTGTTTTGGTTTTTTCCTCTTACAGCTTCAACTTGCTTTGGATTTTAAACAGCTTCTCTTAAAACTGCTTATAGGCAACTTCTTCTAGCCCCACTGTTGCTCCCTCTAGAGAAAGAGCAAGGCTACTTCTCTCAAATCCAATTACATCAATAAGCATGGATTGAATGGCCACCAAGAGCTTTAAAGATACAAAAGTGAGTAAATCACAGTCCATTTCTTCAATGAGTTTATAATGTATGACGGAGTTGTAGGAAGTTTCAAAAAAGAGACAATTGACTGGTCAAAGAAAATTATCATTATGTGCCCAAATAGGCTTCCAAATTATCTATGTGCTAAGAATGATGCTTCATTAAGTAACCCATTTTCTCTGGTTCCAGCAGCTCAGCCAGAGGGGGAAATATAGTTCTTTGATTGCAGTGTGTTGTTCTTAGCCCACATAAGATCCAAACAAATATTTTTCTGTACTAAGAAAGAAGTCTTTTCTTTGTCATCAAACCTCCTTTAGCTTCCCTCTTCCATCAGGTGTTTATATGCCATATCCAGGTTTATTTATCAATCAACTACAAATGTCACCCGCTTTATCACAAAATGCCTCTTTCCCAGTCTCCCTCTTACAGGAGCTGCACCACTGTTTAGAACACACAGCAATTTACACATTTATACACTTTACAGAGACTAGAGAAGGGTTTATAGATACATATACAACTCCACATATTATATATATAAATTCCCATATACCAGACAAAGAAACAGGGTTTCAAAAATCCCAGTTATCAGAAGAAATAAAAGGAACAAATTATTTTGATTAATTTTAAATAAAGACAATGCAGGCTGGGCTTAGTGGCTCACGCCTATAATCCCAGCACTTTAGGATGCCGAGGCAGGTGGACTGCTTGAGTCCAGGAGTTCGAGACCAGCCTGGCCAATATGCTGAAACCCCGTCTCTACTAAAAACACAAAAATTAGCCAGTGTGGTGGTGGACACCTGTAATCCAAGCTACTCGGGAGGCTGAAGTAGGAGAATTGCTTGAACTCGGGAGGCGGAGTTTGCCGTGAGCCGAGATCGCACCACTGCACTCCAGCCTGGGTGACAGTGAGACTGTGTCTCAAAAATAAATAAATAAATAAATAAATAAATAAATAAATAAATAAATAAATAAAAATGCGAGACTATTATGTTTTTGAACAAAAAAATTTTTTATACAAGTCTTATTTATTTCTTAGACTCCTACACTATTTAATGGACTAATAGGGTTGTTTTCAATTTTTGATAACCCTGTAAAATAAATTTACCCTTAGCATTCTCATAAATTTACCACAAAATGTATTAGAAAATGAACATTTACCATACTTTCTCTTGGAAAATGTTTTCAATGTAAGTCTGAAAATTCTGTATTTCTACTTAAGAGATCGGTAAACAAGATGCAGTACTGACTATACTCCTTTCCCCGAGAGACTATGTCTTTTTTTAAAGAACATACCCAGATGCTGTCCTCTTGGCGATGTTGTTTCCAGTTCCAGCCACTATCACTGAACATCAGGAGGTAGCTGGTCACCCAGTTGGAGCTACCATATCCCCCTTGAGTGGCCACAGCGGTGACCTCCATTCTCTCTCCAAGGTCAATCTGCAACCACTGGTATTTGTTAGACACAAGTGGAGACCAGCCACCAGCTCCTTTTATTAAAAATAGAAACAGGAGAAAATTGAGAAAGGAGAGTTAGTTAAAAATCTATGTTAGTACAGTCGAAATGCCAGTAAGATTGTATTCCTCTATGGAACTTAAATTTCCAAAACATGAAACTTTTTATAATCGTAAAAAAATATAGAGTTAAAAATTTAGTATAATTGTATGATGTCTATGTTAATTAATTGTGTTCATTTCTAGGTTTTACAGCCTCCTAAAACTGGGAGAACTAGGGGTCTTGCTGAAGATTTAAAATGTTTAACTTGATAGGTGAACATTCCTGCCAACACGGGGAACTAGCATGTCTATCGCACACATGCATGACTGGGTAATGGTCTGCTCTCCTACCCCTCTGCCCAGGACTGGATGTAAGGAAGTAACTTCAAGCTATGAAGGAACTAAAGCTATGGTGGAACTAAAAATCTACTTTTGATCATGTTTAGAGAAGGAAGTACATTGATAAGTCTGGGAAAACAAGTCAAGAAATAGTTCCTGCCCTCAAAATATTTACAGTCTTTTGGGAGGGACAGATGTTGAAAACCATGTTTGAAACACACATTAATGATGGGGCGTGTGCAGGAGAAAATAACATAATGAAGATGCTCTATCCGGTGGTGGGCTGGAGCTCAGTCCCAACAGTTTGTGAGAGACAATCATTAACTTTTCAATTTTGCAAGCTAGTTATTAAACATAACCATCTTTGCAATTGGTCATGATGAGAGTATTTAAACCACAGAAATTGCAAACTCTGCAAATAAGCACCTGCCCCCACCCCAGCCAGTTTACCAACACACCACTGATTCTATCCTGTGTGGGAGGAGGGTAGTGGGTAAGAGGATGGGGGAAAAGAGAACCAAGGAAATCATAGAGGAAGCTGTGCTTGATCACTCAGAAGTAAAGAATACAAGTTGTGATGTATGTTCAAGGAAGTAATGTGTGGAGCATAATTTATTGTGTTATATTTCATCCAACACACACCAAAATACTGTAGATGTGACTCCTTTATGTCTTGTTAAGAAGCTTCATTCTTCCAGTTTAATATAATAATTTGGGGAATTCTTTTGAGATTTAACATTGCTGATAATACAAGTAACATATCGTCATTGTAAAAGTTATGAAATAGGGTTTGACCCATTCTCGAATCCATATTTATCTAACATTTAATGTTTTAAATGCCACATCAATTACATAGCACCCCAAATAAGAATGTTAGCACATTTTCTTCCCCCATTCTTTTGCTGCTCACCTTGAGGCTCTGATAATAAGGTCTGGAATTTTAGATACAGGTTACCATTAATTTATATAGTTTTAATTCAAGCATTATTATTGGCATATACGATCCATTTTATGAAACCTTGAGTACAAGACCTCATTCAAAGAAATGCTCAATAAATGTCTGCTCTTATCGTAGGGCGTATGCCATTGTAGGACCTGAAGGCACACACCAGTGTTGACAACTGCTCTGTAAGACCTCACGATTATTTTGATGGTGGAACATAGCCTAATGACACTCTGACAGATGAAGGGCAGAACTCTGCTACTTACAACTACAAACAAGAGAAGACGCCAGGCAGGACCACACAGGGGGATGCACCAGGGGACAGGATAACGGCAAACTGGAGCTGTAGGAGGCAGCTTCTGTATGACAAGCAGGGTAGGGCTAGCTAGCTAGGCTTGGTGGGCTTCCTGTGAATTGGCTAATTTGAACAATTTATCTAGGAGGCACTAGGGCACTAGTTGTCTGGTACCTGTCCCAGCAATGATGCTTAGTGACCCCAAAGGGTGAGAACCTAACAAAGGAAGTGGTTGGAATATGGACATCATCAGCTGCTAAGAAAGGAAAGTGCCCAGTCCTAGCCAGGGTCAAAACTGGGTCAAAGCAGCAGTTTAAAAAATTATATTACAGCAAACTGCACATGTACCCTTTAATCTAAAATAAATAAGTTGAAATTCTTTTTAAACATTATATTATAAGAAGGTCCTCTCTTGACGGCATCACACTAATGACTTTGCATTCAGGTATAATCCCTGTTTCTTACTACACTGTCTTTAGAATTAGATACATCATCAAATTTCCATCTTTCTTAAAGTTAATCATTATTCAAAAGTGTATTCCATTCCATGTGTCAAAAGCACAATGTTCTTCCTCTTTTGTAGATCCAGAAATTTTTCACATACTTGATTTTTGTTTATGTTCTGACTTTTAATTTTCTCTGTATTTGCTCTTAAAGAACCTGTGATTTTGGGTGCAGTTTCATTGTACACCAATATTATCTACCTTTATGCTTATAAAGTACAATATTCTCATCTTTTTTTTTATTATAAGTTCTAGGGTACACGTGCACAACGTGCAGGTTTGTTACCTATGTATACATGTGCCATGTTGGTGTGCTGTACCCATTAACTCGTCATTTACATTAGGTGTAATTCCTAATGCTATCCCTCCCCCTGTCCCCTCCCCACAATAGGCCCCGGTGTGCGATGTTCCCCTTCCTGTGTCCAAGTATTCTCATTGTTCAATTTCCACCAATGAGTAAGAACATGCGGTGTTTGGTTTTCTGTTCTTGCTATAGTTTGCTGAGAATTATTCTCATCTTTTAAGCAAGAGTGCTTGTTGCCTAGACATGGTCCCTGGGTGTCTCGGGGTCATTTGTTTAGCACGGCCCTGGTGTCCACGAAGGGCACTTCCTACCCTTGCAGACTGTTGTTTATACGGAACGTGTTCTTGAATGATCTGAAGTACACTTTAAATAGCACCCTGCCACAAATAGCTCGGGGAGTTCTTGAACTCTGTGGGAACTGCTCCTGAGGCGTTATTTTAAAATCTGAATCAATGCTTCCTCCATCCTTCATTTTTCAGGATGTGACGAAACACCATCCATCCTCCTCTACTTATTCTAATGCCGTATTACTTCCCATTTGCTGAGCAAGGGAGTCCTTCTTGTCAGGCACTTTGTGAAGGCCTTGTTAACTAACTCTCAGTGCAAGCTACATAGTAGATGGTGCATCAGATACCAAGGGTCTGAACACTTTGCCCTCACCCGTGAAGCAGTCAAGAGGCACCATGCCCCTAACTAGGACACAACAGTGCCTCTCATAGTGTCAGGATGCAAAGGTGGGAATCAGTGGTTCCCAGTGGTGTAGAAAAGACTCGCTGACGCTGACAGAGATCAGGCAACCTCAGGATTAAGCTACCAGGCAGTAGGGTTAACTTCGCTTCCTGTAGTTAACAATGGACCACGTCTTTGAAGTACAGGCACGTGATGGACATGGCACATGGATGCATATTTCCCTCCACTGTCCTATCTAATTTTATTCTTTCCCTCCAGGCCCTGTCAAAACTTTACAAATTGAAAGTCATCTAGGGGCTGGTGCTAATCAAGTATGTTTAATTCTCTTATTGCTGCAACTGCACATCTCTCTGTATTTTTGTCATTTTTGTTTGTTCACAAGGAAAAGTTAAGAAAGGGTGAATGAAGTGCCCTTAGAATGCCACCATCTCAGCCTGGAAATTCCACATTTGGAATTGCATCTGTATCAGCTGATACCTCTGAGAAAACACTGATTAGTTTGCTTCTTGTCCTTTCTAGTTAACTGTAATGGTTTAAAGCCGGAATTGAGAATATGTTTTCCTAAAGTCCAGAATTTCATAGTATTTCCCTTGCATTTCCATGCCTCTACAGGCCAGTATTTAAAAAAGCGAACAGGTGACAGAAACACAGCAAGGAAAAAAGAATCAGTGTGATTCTAGTAAGTTAAAATCGGATCATCAATTCTCATCAGGAGAAATAACCTCTCACCGACCGCTCCCTCTTCCCAGCGCTGCTCATAGTTACAGCTGCACCAGCCAACTTGAAACATTCACAGTTAATTGACCTTGAACATTTCAATTTCTTACCTGTGGTGAAAAGGTACAACTGGTATGCAAATTACGCTATATCATTAACGAGGTACACTGATAAAGTAATGGAAATTCAGATGCTTCTAGGCTATACCAAGTAATTTCAACCAGATAAGTTGGCCACAGGGAATCCAAATATCCCTACTGGGTTTTAAGCTGTGCCGCTCTGCAGATGCACATGGCATTAGTGTGTGATAGAGTGTTAGGCTTGTTCTAATTTTAAGACAAATGCTAAACAGCAAAATGGAAGACATAAGCTAGACAGATAGACCGATAGAGATAAATTGATTATTCTTTGCAGACTTCTGTTTTTTTTTGCCAGCCTATGATGACAGCTAGTGACATGAAATGCAAACGTAACTGCAGCTGAGGTTAGACCACCAGCTGTGAGACCACTGCCAAACCGCACAGCCCTCAGAAACACACTATTGTCATATTTACTTTTTCAATGGAGAAAGTGATGACTAACTCCAGCAAATTATAAACTCTGTATTACTAAAAAATAAAATGTATTTATTTATTTTGTTTATTAACAAAACCTTTTAGCTGCTGGTTAAGTGTTATTTGAGCTCATGATTTTAGTATGCCAATATATTCAATATCATAAGAAACCAATTCTTATGAAACTAAAGACCATCTTTTCTCAACCCCTTCTCTTCCATGATAATTTACCCACAAAACAAAAACAAGAGTCTTGCCCCCACCAGTTCATATTTGTCCCCATACTGCAGGTTTCCTTTCCCTGTTCCACCCTCCTCTTTCTCCTGCCTTAACCTTGTTACTGAGACTTGGCATAATAAAGCGTCATAAATCTATTCAAATGGAAAAATGTCTTAACTCTTCATATTACAGCCTAAAAGCTCACATTTAAAAATAAAAGTTCTCCCCATTCACAAGACTCTTAAATGCTGTAGTATTGTTATGAGAATTACATTTTAAAAGCACATTAAGTGCCTATTGATTTCTCCCACATTCAACCAACATCAGAGTATGTGGCAGTTAGTGTGTTTTGAATTATGAAAATTATTACTGCTATTAGCTCCAAAGAGAGTTACGATCACGGCGAAGTTGAGTTTTGAAAAAAAAATT